ACCTTCAGCATAGTCTGCCATTACCCGTCAATCACAATGTCAAACTCCCCTGCACCTGTCTCCTTCCACCTTCAATAGCAGCTTTCATGCATGCCCCACTTATCACAGCCAACTGTCCTACCAGTGAGTCCCACCGTGATGCTATCTCAGTCCCAGACTGTCCTTTTCTAAGCCCCCTCAGAGGTCAGAGAGTGGCCCATATGCCTCCCCCTTCCCTGCCCTTCTTTGTCCAAGCAAAACTATTTCCAAACTCACCACAAAGTCAGGGTCTGTGTCCCAGTCATCACCCTGGGTCTCCACGGAAACAGAAACATCATGCCCTACTACAGACTTCCACATCTGAGGGTGACAGAAGATGGGAATAATTAAGGGGAAAAATTGGGAGGAAGGAAAACAAGAATTCTGAAGTCAATGATATAGCAGCTCAACGTTTCTTGCCATTTTTTCTTGGAAGAATATAGAAGCTGAAGCAAAGCAGATGGAAGTTCTAGGAAACCACTTCTGCTCAGTTAGAGGAGAGAGGATGGGGATTTATTCAAGAAAAACTAACATGGCCTGGCCACACCTGAGTCTGGAAAGAAGTAATCATGGGTGTAGGTAACACTAAATAACCTCGGTGTCAAAACTGTTGGATCATTCGCTTGTGTCCAGTGGCTAGTCAGGCAGTGGCTTGAAGTGGTAATCAAGGAGGGGAGCTAGAACATCCCTAGAATCGTAGTGTCATTTCACTCTACATGTGACTCCTTTTATAGTTGTCGAAATCTAGATTGGTCCAGCTCCTGATAAAATGAATATTTACACTCCTCTCTGCAAGCTGCATGAGGCCAGTAGGGGCAGTTAGCTGAAATTCCTACACTGCACAATGCACAGGGAAGCATTGTTTGCTGAGAATAAGTCATTTATTCTTCTATTTTTAAGAACAGTTCAATTATATTTCTAAAGAATATAACTGGTTCAAAAAATAGCATGTAACAAATCCCTTATTTTGAACATTAAAAGCTATTAGATCTTTATTAACTAAATAAATGATAAAGAAATATTTAGAGAACCTTAGTTTGAGGGAGTACCAAATTATTACTCTACTGGGGCATCCCCAGTGTTTCTGTTGGCCCTGCCAATCATGTATAAGGAGGAGCCACGCAGTGGCTCTGCGTCTGTGGTATCCTGGATCTTGGTGTGAAGAGGAAACAACGGCCAACGCTCACCCGCTCTGGTGGCCACTGAGCCTTCCTGACCCTGGTACCACTTGCTAGCTGGCAACTCCCCTGCTCGTCGTTCCCTGCTTAGATTCCTCACCCCACTGGTGTCTTTCCCCACGATCTTCATTGTCTCTTTAAGGAGTCCCTCTTACAACCACTCCTAGGACTCTCCAGTTTATCCACCCAGGCCCTCAGACTCTTGGATTTTTCTTTCCATTTGAAAACTCCATCGTTCTCTATGCTCTTTGAAAAACCCCTTGGAAACTAGCCCAAGGAAAATTTGGGGGTAGATTGGTTAAAGAGATGCAAAGAGCACACTGGAGAAGTGTTGACTGTGTCAGCTGCACTGTGGGATGAATCACTGCCGAGAGCAGCTCTGCCTTCCCCAGCGGGCAACAATTAAAATGAGGCGTCAGGTAGACAAAACCTATGTTCTTGGCTCCTGGGCTGCTCTGCAACCAAAGGACTTCACATGGAAAGCTGGAAAGGAGAAGTTTCTGAAATATTCGTAAGCAATACGGAAGCAATGTGGACTGACGGTCCTGTCGTCTTTCCTGCTGTTCCTCTGAGGCCTCAGCCTGACTTTCTCATAAACCTCCCATCGTCATGTATTTTCAAAACAAAAGGAAGAGTTTCTGACACAGAGACAATTTAGTATCTATGAGGTACTGGCCAGAAATAGGGAGGCTGAGAGGTGCAATCTAGAGGTGGTGATGGGCGGGTAACCTGGCGAGGCATGGTGCCCAGGATTGCAGGCTCAATCAAGGGCCTCATCACAAGGCTGCCTTGGCATCAGTAAAGTATATGAGCTTGGAGTCAGAAGATCATTCCAGCTCTGTTACTAAGCCCCTGTGGGAGCATGGATAAGGGAATCAACAGTATGTAGTTATTTGCCAGGTACTGGGCGAGGCAATTTACAAATATTAAATAATTTGGTAAATCATTGAACATCTCTGATGCTCAGCTTTCCCTAATGGAAAATAAATGAAGAGGTTAACCTAGCTGATCCATCAAGTCCCCTCTGTTTCTGACATTCTGGGATTCTGCGACCCTATAATCACAGAAACTAGCCCTAGTTGAAGCATCACGCCTTCATTTGGCCTGCACCAGCACTTGGTTCTCAGAACTGGCGTCCATTAGCACCTACTTCCTGATCTGTTACAACGTCTCCTATGTGGGTTTTGTCTCTCTGCTAGACCATATGCTCTCCAAGGGCAGAGACTTTGTCTTCATCTCCTGCAGTCCTCTTCTCAACTCAATGCCTAGGAGCCACAGGCCTTAGAGAGGGTTGTAGATTGTCAGCAGAAACCAGGGGTCCTGGATGGCTGCTGAATCATGTTCCCTGGGCTCCAGCCCCCCACTTCTGTTTCCATCCCCAGATGTTCATTATCCATAACGACTTACACCCAGGCCTTCTGGCCATAAAAGATTAAAAGCCTGCTAGCAGTGACTTCATCTCTCAGCAAGGACTAAGAGCTAGGTAGGATCCTCTTACTTCAACATTTCTCCTGTGCTCCCCAACTTTCCCATTGTTCTGAGTACCCACCTCCAATAGTGTGAGTGTTTGCTCCAAACTCCCAGCTCCTCACGTCGACACTCGGCTCCCTCTCTGGCTGCTGCTACTTCAGAGCAAGAAACTGAGCTGCTGCTTCGGTTCCGTATTCAGGTTTCTGTCATTTCCTGCCACCCTGTCCTCATAGCTACTTCCTGAAGTTTTGAGTCAGTTCCTTCTGCTTAGGCACTTAAATAAAAAAGGATTAAATGCTTCTGTGCCTCCACTTTTGCAAGGCTTTGAGGGTCACGAGGAAGTCATAGAAAATGCTGTTCTTACTCTGAGCTTATAATCTGATCAGGGAAGCAAAACATTCAACCAGGAAACACATAAAAGAATGCTGTAGGACAACATTTGTGTCCTAAATAGGTGAGCAGTTGCATCTATTATAGTAAAAGAATTTAGAGAATTCGGTATGGGCTGAAGTAATCAAAAAAGGCTTAATGGGAAAAATGATTTTTATGTGGATTTTGAAGGGTAAGATTTAAAAAGAAACTCATTTCTACGTTACCCACAGCACTTAAAATTGAGGTTTGCATATAGTAGACGTTCAAATAAACGTTGAGCAATTGAACGATGGAAGAGAATAACTCACAAGGGGAAAGGAAAGACGTGGAGGGAGAAAGGCGCCGAGATCGTTCAGGAGACAGCGAGGAGTCTGAGCTAACTGGTAGAAAGATTTTGTTCCAGACAGAAGGAAGAAGTCTGAAAGAACGAGGCAGTACCAGGGGATGGAAGGTCTTTGTGATATTCTGTATTTCTGTTCATCAAGATTTGCTGCTCCTCCCTTCCCTCTTGAAGTCAGACATGCTCAGGTGACTTTGTTTTGGCCAGTGAAATGCATGAAGTGAAACACATCACTTTCTGGTGGAGACATTAAGATCAGTGCGAGCTTTGCCATGCTCTTTCGCCCATTGCCCGCCAAGGCAACCTGCAATTCTCCAGAGTGGCTGCTCTGGCAGCCTGAGTAAGAGGGTCCCCGACATGATGTCCCCAGTGACTACAACACAAGTAATCCTTTTAGTTACTGAAAATTTGAGGGTGTTGGTTACTGTATCTGACCTGGCCTCTCCTAATCTAGAGTGACGTGGAGTTCTAACTTGATTTGCTCAGTCGTGAGCTCCCCCATGGATTCAAGCAGAGACTGGATGAAATTGGTCCAAGATGCTGAGGGGATTTCTGCATTAGTAAGACTTCAGTCACTTCCAAATCTAAGGATTCTACGCCTGGGGGCAGTTGTATTTATTGATCTCTCCTACTTCATGACCTCTCTATTATGGCAGCACCAAAATTATTTTAAGGAAGAGTAAATTTGTAGAAGGTGAAAAAATCTTTTATATCATTTCAAATCCTAATTCAGTGTCAAAAATAGGAATGATCAGATCAGATATTGTGACACACCATCCAGGTATAATTTCTTTAGAGAAACCATAGAATTTAATCAGAGATGACAAGAAACCCCATCTGTTCTTAGCAAATGTCCCAAGTTCATTCCTGATGAGACACAGTGAGATGGAGCACATAGAAATAGCATGGGCTTTGAAGCCAGATAGACTTGGCCCAATTCACTTACTTACCTTGAGAAAGTGCTTTTCTCAAGCAGTGACCTAACATAAAAACATAATGCCCATCCTGCTATTCCCTATTAGATTCCCTTCCCCCACGCCACTCAGATGGATTCCTAGGGGCCTAATATTTTCAGTTAGAGTTCTCCCAGGCCCAGACACAAACCTGCATGAATCTCATGCCCTAAGGCCCAGCTTCTTTGGTTCAATATTAGGATGGAATTTCCTCATTCCACTTCATCTCCCTGGGGTCTAGTGGCTAAAGCTAGGACACATGCAGCCATTACTGATATTGGCCAGTGAAAAGGAGGCCTGAATAGGCAGAGCTTTCTACCCGTATATCCATTCCTGGCTACCCTATCCCTATCTACCTTCCTCCCATCAGCGTGCACACACATATATATAAGCACCCGTGTATACATACATTCACATACACGCACACACCACAATTTTTCATTCTGAAAATAATTTTATTATTTTACAGTTGTTCGGGACAGTTCCTGGGTTGCTGTGACCAAGGTTTGGTCACCACAGAAAAAAGGATTAGAGCAGATCAGTCAGTCCACCAGTTTTCTCTCTTCTTTGGGTGCTGAGAGCAGGCAGGGAACACATCATGTGCATAATGAGAAAATAACCAGTAGGTAAGTGTTGAGGGGGAGAAGAGGCAAGGAATAAGCAGAAATGGAATTCGATTCTGGCTGTCATTCTCAGGCCTAGATTTAAATATTTTGTCTTTATATTCTCCCTCCATTTTCTTCAGCTCTCTGTTACCACAGAGGGCAGATGACTTTGGGACTGAGAAACTGGAATAACTGTCACCAACAGTAAAGTAGCTTCATACTTCAAGAGACTAGGAGTGGTCGTTAGACCAGTCAGATCTTCCTGACTGGGAGTCAATGCCTCACCTAGGACTGGCTCCTAGTGTACTGTCTTAGGGCCCACAAGTGAGGCATATCCAGGTAACACAGGAATGAGAAGAATCTGAATCCCGCTGTGCTGTCCATAGCCAGTTCTTCCTACCTTTCAGTGAAATGAAAGGCATAAGCCACTTACTACCTTTGTTTACATGTGATCAAGGGCATAAGCAATGGGCTCCTATCCTTACAGTCCAGGATGAAATCTCACTCCAATTATGTCTGAATAGCCAGGGAAGGAGATGCTATCCTCCCCCAGGATCCAACAGCTGAAACCTCTGGGGAGTTCTTCAGCTCCCATCCTATCTTGCAGGAGACCTAATCAGATATCCTAGGAGACAGTGTTCCCCAGAACTTTGTTTGTGGCAGGTCCACCTTCCCCCTGAAGCAGGAGAAAATATAAGGAAAACAAAGAAAAGAAGTATCAATCAAAATGATACTGGACTTCAGATTATTAGGTTTATTGGAACCATCCTCCTGGCTGAAAGACATTCCTCAGCATCTTTCCCAGGACCACAAAAGATCAGGGCCCTGTAAAATCTGAACAAATATTGGGCTCAAGAACCAAGTATGGGGGCTCCTCAGATGATGCAGAGTGTTCAGGCTCGTGCAGTAGAAGAGAGCAGACTCGCTGGGCCCTACAGCTCTAACCTGTGCTCACATCCACCTCTTTTTGCAGGCACTTTCTGTGGAGAGTTGGAGAGAGGACCTGTAAGTGGGAAGACTGTTCCAATGGAATTGATGGTTTTGATGTTAGAGGTGAGGGAATTCCATGTTCTGAGGGGAGTGATCCGAAAGGTGAGAACTAAGTTTATAGACGGCCTGTGAAACACAGAATGAGTAGGACATGAACCATCAGAAAGTAGATGGCTGCTAGCAGCGGCACTCGGGTCCGGGAATGACAGAGAGAACGCAGGACGCGCTTCCATCCAGCACCACTCCGGGTCTGAAAGAAAAATGTGAAAATCAGAGAGTTTTACCCTATGGGGACACGTCCTCACTTCTCCAGCCACTATAGAAAAGGAGTATCCCAAGAGAAAGGCCCCTCATGGTCAACCACTTGGCAAATTCCACTAGGTTCCTTCAACCTTCCACACCCTTCCAGTCTAGTGCCTGGACTTCCACATTCCTTTTCCTTGACCCCCTGCCCTCAACACAGCCATCCCTGTCTGATAGTACAGTCCCCTCTCTTTATCCTTCTTCCCTTCTTACCCTTCGACAACTGTTGCCTGTAAGATCTATTAACAGTGCCTGCTCCTGAGTGCCACAGGAGCCAATGATAGGAGACCGGGCAGAGTCCCATTCACCGAGCTCCAACCTGTGTAAAGAGAAAAAGAGGCGTGGCATTGGTTCACAGCACCAGAGGCTGATCGGGTGAAGTCTTCCTAGTCATCTTGCTATGTGATGTAGCACAAGGGACTTGCAGCAAAGGCTGCTCCCACAGTCCCTGCCCCCATGCAAGGAGTACACAGGCAGATGGTAAAAGGTGATGATAACTACCATGAGTCGACTGCCTACTATGTATCAGATGCTGGATTGGGTGCTTTACATACATTTAATCCTCAGGTTTGAGGTTGGTGTTATTATCTTCAAAGTAAGGCTTAAAGAGGTAAAATTACTCGTCCATGGTGGCACAGTCAGTTAAGAGGCAGAGCCAGAATTCAAAACCCTGGTTTGTTTCTAAACTTCACGCCCTTTTTTTCCCACTACACCACACCTGACTCAGAGAAACTCATTAAAATTTTTTTCTTTTATTAAAGGCTAATAGGCAAAAGCATCCAAGAAAGATTTTTGTGGGGTTCTTAGAATTAAACTGAACTGGCAGCCTCTACTGCTTTCTCCTTCATTTTTTGCTGATTTGCTTATTTATTTAATACTGGAACTTCTCCATTTAATGAAGAAGCTGCCTTTATCCACTCAATGGTTTCTCACAAAAACAAGAACCATATCAAAGGAGATGTAGGAAACATATAGCATATTTGATCAAGCATTTGCCTACAGGGATGCACTTTTTAATTGTGGTGGGGAGGAGGGAACTCTACTCCTGATGTTTCCTCCACAGGAAGGGATATCCTTTAGCCTAATACTCCTGGCCTCTCTCACTTTTCTCCAGGAGAGAAGGAACGCTTTAATCTGATTTGTGAGTCTGGAAAGAGAAACTGATCATGCACAGCCTAGCTCCATCCTAATTGCTTTCCTCTTGAGAGCCAGGCGGACTACACAGTACACCTTCTGTGTCTGTTCCTCCTTATGATAAACTCTTCAGGGCAGCCTTAATCTGGAACAGCATGGTCTGGTACTATGTAGGTCAGTCTGCCAACTTCTGTAGGCTAGGCTGAGGAAAGATGAGATGTTTGTAAGGACTGGTGAGCCACACAGTATTGGCTGCTTTTAAATTGCAAGTCCCGGGGACCGGCCCCGTGGCTTAGTGGTTAAGTGCGCACGCTCCGCGACTGGCGGCCTGGGTTTGGATCCCGGGTGTGCACCAATGCACCGCTTGTCTGGCCATGCTGAGGTGGCGTCCCACATACAACAACTAGAAGGATGTGCAACTATGACGTACAGCTATCTACTGGGGCTCTGGGGAGAAAAAGGGAAAAAAAGGAGGAGGATTGGCAATAGATGTTAGCTCAGGGCTGGTCTTCCTCAGCAAAAAGAGGAGGATTGGCGTGGATGTTAGCTCAGGGCTGATCTTCCTCAGCAAAAAGAGGAGGATTGGCGTGGATGTTAGCTCAGGGCTGATCTTCCTCAGCAAAAAGAGGAGGATTGGCGTGGATGTTAGCTCAGGGCTGATCTTCCTGACAAAAAAATAAATAAATAAATTGCAAGTCCCCTGAGTTCCACATGCACTATAGAGCGCAGGTGAAGTTCTAAGGTTAAAATGGCAGGACTGGGCCCAGGTAGGGAGCACTTGATTAGCTACCTCAATTTCCATTCTGCATCAGGGCCAAAGAGGGAATTGTGGAGGAGCTAAGCTTGGATTAACGTGGCTTGGCTTGACCCTAAACTCATTGCAGCAACCATCTCAACAGGAGAATTAGATCCTAATCTTTCCCAAGTCCAGCCACTGAAATGTACACGAGGACGATCAGGAAGGATTAGAAGTGAACAGAGGCTCTCGCCCTCAGCCTTTACCGCCTGATCTGCTCCTCAGCCAAGGAGAGGGCAGTCTCAGCAGCCACTCTTTGGTCTCTTTCTTCTTCCAGCAGCTTCCTCAATTCGTTCATCTCCTGTTTAGTGTTGCACAGCTGCTGCTGGGCTTCAGAAAGGCTTCAAGATGAAAGGAAAACAAACAACATCATTAGATGCAGAACACAGTTGCTGACACAAGGGATTCAAAGTCTTCAAAAGGTTATAAAGCAGGAAAACTTACAGAAGCCTGTACAAACAAGCTTGTAAAAAGCTTGTACGAAGACTATTTTAAAAGCCTAGCTGTAGCAAGATTAAATAAAGCTGCAGAAAATGCCTTAAGAGATTTCAGGGATTGGCTGAACAGCTTTCACCTTGAATACCATAGGATTAGTGGTGTGTGTTTGTGTGTGTATGTGTTGGTGTTTTTGCTTTACAAACTTTTCACACACAATTTGTTATTGTAACTGTTACTATTTAATCCTCACATCAATTCTGTGAGGCCAATAAGATAAAAGGAGATATTAAATCCACACAATGGATTCCAGTTCAATCTAGATGACCGCCCAATTTCTGTATACACAGTGCACACTCCAGGGCTGAGAGCTGCTCCCCTACCTTAGCTGTGGCTCCCTCAGTTCTTCAGGCTCACTCTTCCTGTGAGCTCCATTCTTTTCCTGGGGAGCTCCTGGAGCAACATCTATATTTACTGGGCCCTAGAAGAATACATTTAGTAATTGAGCGATGAAAGCGCTTAAGAAACTACTTGGGCAAGACAAGAACTCATTTAACATTGGAGAGAAGAAGAAATCTTGGAGAGCAATACCTCTGCTTATCATTTTCTTTGGTACAGATTTAGAAGTGAGAATCTTCTGCTCTAATAGGTTAATTTCCTACATAAAACTCTATTAGATTTTCTTGCAGATTCTCATTCTTGAATCTCTCCTCCTAAAAGTTTAAAGCTTACCGCTGAAATTGGCTTTCTTCTAGTGGAGGCTCATGGATTTTCCAGAAGCTACTCTGATCTTTCCCTTATTCAACAACAACTCCCAAACTCCTTCTCTTCCTTCCACGTCCTATTCATCTCCATACTAATTCTCAGTCTCCTCAAGCTCCAATAATGAACTCCTCTCCACTGCCATCAACAGCTCTGCCTATTTTGTTTCTCAGGTCCAAATCTTCCTACAGCTTTCTTATTTCTTGAAGCAAAATCAAAACTTAGTTTTAGAGTTCCAAAGGCCTTAGTCGTCACTGTTTCCCACTCACTTTTTGATGTCTCTCCCACCACCTCATTGATCTTTTTTCTTCTAATCCCTTCAGTCTTTAATTTTTCCCAGACCTTATTCCCACATCTCAATGAACACTCTCCTCTTCTCTTTCACTTTCTTCCATCACACTTTAATCTTCAGGCTGAACACATCAACCTCTTCAATGCTGCTCTTTACGCTCTTGTCCTTTGCACTCAATTTCCCGCCTCTCACCTTCTTCTTACTCACCACTTGCAGCTCCTGAACCTGCTTCTCCAAGACTGCACAGTGATTAAACAGGTCGCTGTAGTGCTGCTGCTTCTCACGAAGACTCTGACTGGTGTCGCAGAGCTGAATTGAAAGGGTATTTTTCTCTTCAAGTAGTTGAGAGAACTGAAATAGAGGAGAGGATAAGCATCATCCCACAGGACTGCCTCACTACAAGCAGTGCCGAGGCAAACTGTCCTGAGTTTTAAGGATCTAATTTTTTTATGCAACACCTTTATTTCAATAATAGCAACAACAGCACCGTGTGTGTTCCTTCTGAGAACACTCAGAATTTTTCAACTGAGAAAGGAAAACAATTCTGGGGCAGGAGTAGGAAACTTTATTTATGGTGCCTTAAATACATTACTTTAACTGAAAAACCAGGAAGCAGAAGCCCACAAGCAATCTAATAGGACAGTCTATCCCAGGTATGTAAGAGGAGAAAGGCAACTGGCTTGTTCAAGTTGAAATTACTAACAGATGACTGTAATCCTCAGAGCTCAATATGGCTGGAGATAGAGCTGTTGCCTAAAAATTCATACAATAATATTATTAGGCAAATTCTTCAATGCTGTGGAGAGTTACAAGTTACCAGGAAAGTAGAATAGAAATTATAGTATGTTGTAGGAGGGATAAACAGAATAAATCCTAATATGCTTATGTACATGTAAGAAACTATATTAGGAGCATAGATGCTCATAGGTGGAAACATTTCAGTCACTCAAAGGAAGACTCTCCCCTACTACATGAGTAACAGGTAGTTACTCAGTCTTTCCTTGAACATGTCCAGTGTCAGAGGTGCTCACAACCTGACAAAGCAGCCTGAGCCATTTTTCACCATGTCAAAAACAGAATATTATTTTTTATATTAAATGAAAAATTGATCCACTGTAGCTTCTACCCAATGATTTGAATTCGGTCCCCTGGAACTATACTTCTAATTCTTTACTTGCAGGCTGTCAAGTTTTAAGTTTCAGTTATGATTAACATCCAGATACATTAACAACCACAGAGATGTCTCTCCAAAGTACTAGTGTAGGACTATGTACATTATATGAAAGGAAACTGGTATGCCTGACTGCATATCCAATCTTTTCTTGAGTGTTCTTTGTTCTAAGTATTCCGGGTAAAGTATTAATGTTTGTGTAAAAAAAAGTTGAATCAATGTTCAGAGAGGAGAAGACACACAGTCTTCTAGAGATACTCGAACTGGGAAGGACATTTGATGCGTACAGAAAATTAGAATAAGAAATCCATGTGGTATAACAAAAACATTTGCATAGGCAGAATGAAAAACACAACAAATAACTACCTCTGAAGAGCAATTTTCAGTTTACAAGGCACTTTCAAAAGTATCATCTTATTTGAGAGAGGCAGAAGAAGGATTTCTGTTCTCATTTACAAATGACCAGCAAACAAAGAGATGAGCAGTGACTTGCCCAACATCATGTGGCTAGTAGATGGTGGACCAGGACTCAAGTATGGTTCTTGATTCCAAGTCTAAACCTCCATCTACTACCTGATGGTGTCCCATCTGAGAGTTCAGCAAGGGAAGTGAAGCACGTTATGGGTTTTTTGCGGGGTGGGAGGAGTTGGTAAAGTCATATAAACGTTTGAGAAGCAATACTGATTTGAAGACAGGAGCTGAGTACAATGACAACTACAGGGCTCTGAGACAGGGAGGAACATGATCCTCTCCTAACATAGAAGAAAGTTAATTTTCCTGGTTGCAGTGAACAGCCCAAAACATACCAAAAAAATTAAAACCAAAAAACAAAAAAATCCCTCTGTATTGAAAAAACCGAACACTTTTTCCTTGGCAGATCTAGAGGAGAAAGGATAGACTTGTAAAACTCACTGGAAGCAAAAACTCCCTTAACTGGAGAAGTCTGATTGCTTATAAGCTACCCTTACATAAACTATCTTTTATGATGTCTGCATTACTCTGTCTAGGATAGACACAGATCCCTACAGTTTAGGGGTTGGCAAACTAGGATCCAGGGCAAACTGCCTTTTTTTGCGTGTGTAAATAAGGTTTTACTGGAACATAACCCACTCTATGTGTTTATGTATCGCCTATGGCTGCTTTTGTGCTATAACTGCAAAGCTGAGTAGTTGTACCTACAACTGTAGTTGGCCTACAGACTTAAAATATTTACTCTCTGGGCCTCTAAGGAAAAGTTTGCTGACCTCTGCTCTGGCTCATAAACTACTGTATTTCACCATATCTGTACTTGTAAAAGCAGAATAGGAGGGAATAATCTAGACTACATTACGCCAATAATCATTCTTCTCACGTTTTTAAGTTTCATGTTTTAAAGTCTGCATTACATACAAACATCCAACCATGCTAGCAGAAATATATATAAAGTCTGAGCATCAATGGAAAGAATTAGGGCAGTGGCTTGGAGAGGAGCTATTCTACGTTGACAGCCCACATATTATGATCTCATTCTAGGGCCCAGGAAGCAATTCTCCTAGTTAGCTGGGACCCATTCAGAGGGAGGCTTTAAACTCACTGGACTCCATGAGGGGCCACTGTGTGTCCTCAATACCTAGTATATGGCCAGGCTTAGAGGAGGTAAATAATAATTGGCTTGATGAATGAATGAATGAATGAATGATGCTAGTGATGAAGATGCCTCCTTACAGATGATTTCTAAAGGAAGAACTCTTGTTTATCCAAAATGACAATAACCTAAAAGCAGTATTTCTCATACTTCAATTAAGTGGTATGTGAAGTATATCTCAATAAAGCTGCTAAAGAAAACATATTTGATTATGACTCAGAACCCAGCACATAGATATATGTAATTAAAACTAAAGTTTCTCAAAGCAAGATATACTCTTTTTTATATATTACATAATACCTACATATTTCCAATCTCCTTTATTTTGTTTTGTAAAAAACACTATTTGACTATTTTTAACAGCCCCAAACTGGAAAAACCCAAAAGTCCTTTAACAGCAGAATAGAGAAATTACAGTATCTGAGTATAATGCAATACTCTACAGCATGAGAATGGAAAAATCACACATACACAACAACATGGATGAATCTCACAAAATAAATGAGGCAACACAAAAGAGAAGATATGATTCCATTTATATGTAGTTCTAAGGGGGTGGTAATGAATAGAAGAGGACACAAGGGACTTCTGGGGTTCTGGTATATTCTGATTCTTGATCTGGGTACTGATTACATAAGTGTCTTCACTTTGTGAAAATATGCCATGCTGTATTTATGAAATGTGTGCTTTTCTGTACATTTTACTTTAATAAAACATTTATATTAATATTTTTTTAGTTACTATCCACTAAAATGACCTCATCATCTACTAATAGCCCTGAACTGCAGTTTAAAATACTGTCCTGGAAGATAAACAAATACACGGACAAAGAGAATAGATTCGTGGCTACCAGACGGGATGGGGGTTAGGCGGTGGGCATAAGGGGTAAAAGGGCACATATATATGGTGAATGACAAAAATAATGTACAACTGAAATTTTACAATGTTATAAACTATTATGACCTCAATAAAAAAAAAAAAATACTGTCCTAGAAAGACAAATGCCCAGAATGATTCACAGTCTAACGCTCAGGAGAGCAACTATAACAAGGCTGAGATGGCATCTAGTTTATGGAAAGAAAAGGTGTTACAGAGCTATGAAGGGAAGAACTTTCTGGAAACAACTGACTAGCTGGAAGGGGAACTGGGTAGGAGCTGCTCTGGCGCCCCCCTGAAAACTCCCAAATTCCCCAACGAAGGGCCTGCAATTTTACCAATTAATTTGCATCAACAAACCTATTTAAAAAACGCAAATTTCTCTGCCAATAGTGTTAGCGGTCTCTGATACCTCAATGTTAATTAGTCGAATTTAACAACATTTAATAAGTACCTTCTACATACACGACACACTTATCATATTTATCTCAGACTGACCTCCTCCTAACACCTTAGGTAAATTACTTAATACCTACAGGCCTAGTTTCCTCATCTGTGATACAGCCTAGTCATCTTTACCACTTTTGGATCACAGATCTCTTGGTGAACTGACAAGTTCTTGTGATGAGAAGCTTACACACACACCATTTTGCATATTATTTTTGGATATTCACAGCTCTCCTCAAAGCCAATCTCTGGACTCCAGAGTCTAAATGATCTCTTGAATCCCTTCTATTTCTAACATAAACTACCTAGCTGGGTTCCTCTGAAGAAGGCAGAACCAGGGGAGGTGCTACTAGAGAATATTCTGAATAGTCAGAGAGCAACAGGAGTACAATGATTCATAGGCAGGTGGGGGAGGGGAGGCAGGTGAAGGAGGAAGAGAAGCAGAGAATGGATGAGGAGAGAAGACAGAGATGTGAGAAGGCACCCAAAAATAATTTTCTTTAATCTTGTCTTGGCCTTTGCTCTAAGGACCAGATGGCAGTGTCTCTTCCCTCTACAAATAGGTCCCCTCTACTCCAGCATGCTTCCCTAAGTGTCTGGAGTGGCAAGGCTGGGGTTTGGGAAAAAGCAAGCTGGCTTCTTTAGTTCCAGAACATTAGACACACAATGAGGAAGCCTACAAATGGAGTGGAATGAGGAGCAGACCTCTCACCTCTATCCCTGCTATCTAATCACATATGAAAAGCCTCCTTCCTCGTTCCCGAGACTCTTGCCTGTCACACACTGGTGGGAAACACAGAGGAACTTGTTGGAGTATTTGTGGGGAGTTATCTTAAGATTACCGATAAGTGATACAGATGGGGAGACAAGGCTGGGGAGGAAGGTTTCCTAAAGTAGTCAGCTTTTTTATTCTCATTGAATGGACTTCTCCAAATCATTCCCAAGAACTCTCCAACGGCAAGGAAAAGGAAATGGCCCTGTGTCCAGCGCTGGGTGAGCAACTCAGGCTCTGAGAAAGGTAAACCTTCTGTACCCAAAGATATGCTATAGCTAGAGCCTAGGCTTAATCAGCTTCTACTTACTTTCTTGCTTCCAGTCATAGAAACAAGAAATTGAATTCCAGTCTAGCAGGAAACACTTACCTTGCTGTTCAGTTGCTGAATTCTTAATTCCTTTTGGTGAATTTCCTTTAAGCTGTCATTGAGCTGAGTCCTAAGAAGTTCTGTCTCATAAACTAGGTTTTGTGATCCATCTAGGGAAGCTGATGTCTCTGGGGATGCCTGCCAAAATACAAGCACTGCTGAAATTCTCTCCTAACATTGTTCAAGCTTAATTCCTTCCCTTCAGAAACCCTGTCCCCCTCATAGGAAGTCATAAGATGGCTTCCCTAATAGTGGCAGATGGGCACTTAGCTTGCAGGAAGCTGATGCTTGCTGAGTAGAGGTTACCTCTGAGTAGCAATCAGCATCGAAATGCCTCACCTGTCTTTGGTACTGCACTTGGAGGGTCTCAGTCTGGGAGGAAGAAGATCTCAATTCCCTCAGAAGATTCTGCAGATGACTGAGCTGCTGATCTTTATCTGAGATAGCCATAAGGTACTGCTCCTTCATTCTCCTCTCATGAATTTCCCAGGAACTCTTCTCCATCCTAGAAAAAACACGAAATAATCACAGGCAATATACTTGTGAGAATAATTACACATTCTAAACAGTATAATGGGCTGTAGAGATGTAGTAAAGAAAATACATAACCAGAGCGCAATTTATATTATAAACAGAACTGTGCGGCAAGATGATGGAGCAGAACTAAAAAAGAATTTCAATGGCAAGACCGGGGAAGATTTCACAGAAAAGCAGGCATTTGGTCTGAACCCTGAACAATGAATCAGTTTTCCATAATGGGAAAAACATTCCAGGTTCAGAGAACAAACTAAACCAAAGGCACAGTGAATTTTCGAACTGCGTAGTAGATAGTGTATAGAGTGAATAGGGTAGAAAATGAGGATGGAGAGGAATGAGGTCAGATCATGTGGGGCACTGAATAGCATGCTAAATAAAGCTTACTCTGCAGCAATGGGAAACCACTGCGATCCTTCAGAGAGGCAGTGCCATGATGCAGTATAACATCATGGTTATGAGAATGCAACTGCAGAGTCTGAAGGACCTGGGTTCAAATCCTGGCTCTGTCATACCTAGGCATGAGACCCTGAGTAAGTTACTTAATCTCTCTGAGCCTCATTGGTAAAATGGGAATAAACTATTTATTCCTTAGGACTATTGTGAAGATTAAATGAGATATTCTATGTCATGCACCAAACATAGAGCCTGGCACATCATAATAACTCAATAAATATTAGCTGCTGATATTTCTATTTGTTTATTCTCTAAGTTTGGCCAGGAGGGAGGCTTCTATTTGACCTCAGCTAATTTTCTGCAGTACTACCAAAAACTGCCTCTCTGCCATATTCTTTAGTTCTACTTCTAAAACTATGCCTGAAAAAAACCCATTAGGATTGTAATCAAATTTCTGCAGCATCTCTTCACTTTGAGTAATACCCATGTCTCTGTTTCTCCCAATAACAAAAAGTTTTGTTTGAAGTGCATCTGACAATTTTGTCTTTCTCTCTAGAAATAAGGTAAGATGGTCTTTTCTAAATGACATATACCTGTTATGAAATAATCCTACTTTGCTAAGAGGCGACTTAAATTACAGTCGAAATCTTTTCAAAAAGGCAGAGCTAAAACTTAGAAAATAAAATAAATTTTTATTACAATGCACTATATGTAAAAGGCACAGGGATTTTCTAAAATACTTTCTTTGATATTCGTCTGTGAAAAATGAGAGAGAACAAGAAAGACAGAGTGTAAGAGTGAGAATGCATGAGAAAGATCACAATCTAAAAGACTCTAAGCTGCCATTCTTTTGGAAGGATAGACAAGTGGTTATGGTCCAAAGAGACACTCAATGGAGAAGAGAGGCTAAGGAACAAACCTGATTACTTAATAGAACTCAGCCATAAAAGCGCTATACCTCACCTACCCCTTAAGCAAGAGAGCACAAGAACCAGAACAGAATATACAAACCAGGAGCCAAGAGTGGAAGAGAAAGGTCATGGTACAAATTCAGGCTCTCCTGATAAGCCAACCCCAAGGCCCAGAAAAGCTTGAATAAGATGTTCCAGCTTTTTCATGTTTGAAAAGCCCATTTCTCCCAGGTATGTCAAGAGCAAAAGACAGAGAGTCTTGAAGATATTCAGCTCAAGAAGCTGGTCCTGAAGTCAATGAATCACATCTGTGTCCTCATTTTCTTCTTCCTTCTAAAAGTGAAGTAAAATGTCTTCCTTTCCTTCTCCTAATTTACTCACATCCACTTGATATATAATTTTACTTTTCTTCCAAATTGCTTAAATGTGGAAGGCAAAGAGAGAAAGGCTAAGAGAAAGGTGGAAAGGGAGAAAATGAGGGGGGAAAAACCCACAATAGACCAGAAATCATTTTTTATCCTCCCCAAGGGTCAACTTTGTAAGGAAAGTATCCTTTCGGAATGCCCTTTGAGGAAATTTAAAGAGGAACAGGTGTCTGCAGAAAATAAGCCTTTAGAGCATTGCAGCTCTTCTTACGTTTACATTGGTAACCGGACACTTAAAGTTTTTGTAGCTCCAGGTGATCTGGAGATAACATGGGAGACATCAAGGTGATGCTCCGATATGGTCCCAATCACCTTTGGAGGGTCCTAAATTCAATGGTCAGCACTAATGTACTTCTGGAGGAAGAGAGACTGAGAGCCTTATCTCTTGATGATGAATTGAGATTCTTTTTTTTTTTTTTTTTGTGAGGGAGATCAACCCTGAGCTAACATCCATGCCAATCCTCCTCTTTGTGCTTCTGAGGAAGACCAGCTCTGAGCTAACATCTGATAGCTGTATGCCATAGTTGCACATCCTTCTAGTTGCTGTATGTGGGACGTGGCCTCAGCATGGCCGGAGAAGCGGTGCGTCGGTGCGCGCCCGGGATCCGAACTGGGGCCGCCAGTAGTGGAGCCTGCGCACTTAACCGCTAAGCCACGGGGCCGGCCCCCTGAATTGAGATTCTAACAGGATAAAGCTCAGGCAGCTACTCCCTGGGAGAAAAAAAAGATGAGTTTGAAATGGAGCAATTCATCTTTTCTCTTGCGGTTCAATTCCAGAAGGAAGAAACAGATGACATCTGTATTCACAGAGAGCAAAAATGGACAGTTTTCTACCTTCTCTGCAATCACTATCATTTGGCAAAAACTGTGTTCTTGTATTATCTGGGGAAGCTGCCCACTCCACGGAATAAGTTTGATACATTGTCACTTATGAGAAAGTCCATAAAGATGTTAAATATGAAAATCTTTTGGATGTAATTTTACTCCAAATTTATTTTTGGATAAAATTTAAGTCACCAAATTCTAAAAAGTGTTTTGCTCTATCAACTTTGCTCTATAAAGTTTATTTCAAATATTTATTTGAAGTATCATTTCAATAAAGCAGATTTCATCTAGGATCCATGAAGGAACAAATCTCTTGTAGAGCTCTCTTAGGGAGGTCAGAATTATTATTTTACTCAAGTGATATCTGTTATCCTGGTTGCCCCTCTGTAAGGTGGACAGGAATCTAGACTCCACCTCACAGTCTCTGTATTCACTGCTCGTGGTTGTCCTGTAGCAGCAGGCGAGACAAAGCAGGTGCTGCTTCATCAGCAGCACTTTCCAACATGGAGATTCTCCTTTTAGTACCAAACCTTGAAAGCTTTGGGTTTGATTTTATTAAAGTGGCATGCACCACCTAAACAGTAATAAATTCCCAACAACAGGACCTGTTTTTTATACCGTTAAATGTTTATTCTTTACTTTTTCCCTTTAGATCAAATTTGTTAGAAACAACTGAATTAAAAAACCAACCAGAATTACAGTTCCCATCATAATATTTTTCTGCTCTAATTGTACCATATAGTTATTCATCTTTAAAAGTAAAGGGCTTGGATTTCTGGATCAGACAAGATGGAGTAGATGTATTTCTCCTTATTCATCCCACTAAGTATAGATAAAAACCCTGGGAATTATTTATACGTATATATATATAAACAAATACAAGACGACTTAGAAAGAGGGAGAGAAGGTGGAACAGCTAGGGACCCTAGGACTTGAGGAAAGATATAGCAGTGAATTTGCTGGTTTTTCTTTTTGAGTTCTATATACCCCAAACTGGGTGAAGGAGGATCCAACAACCTGGAAACACCAATGAGTGCCAAGAAAAGTTTGCTCTCTCTTGCCAAAGGCAGCCTACCGAGACAGAAACATTAATGACAATAACCACCCTACTCTAGGCGAACACTATGGAAAAATCACAGTACCTCCCTACTCTCATTAACAAAATCCTAGTGGACAGGCCAGATTTACACCCTTGCCTGGAGGTAACTAAGTGCGTCTCACCCTCCCTGCTGGGTGGTGTCAGAAGAGGCCAAGTGTGTACCCTGGACTGTCACCACCAGTGGTAAAGAGGTGCCTCTCTCTGACTGCCCCCACCCCCACCCCCACTGCGATGTCCAAGGAGACAACATGTGGGGCCTGAACATCCACCTCTACCCACAACAAGGAATGAAGTGTTCCTCCCTGTCCCTGCAGAGATAGTATCAGAAGAGGCCAAGAGAGAAGTTTGGACTTCGGGCACTACCCAGTGCTAACAAAGTGCCCCTCCTCAACCATTGTCCTGCAGTGTTAGTGGAGACTGAGTGGGTAGCCTGGACTTTCACCAATGCCCAGTGATCATGAGGTGTCCCTCTCCACACTCCCCAGTGGTATCAACAGAGGCCATGTGTGGAAGTTGGACTTCTACTGTCACCTAAGAGTAATGAGGCACCACTCCCCACTAACTGTGGTGTCAGTGGAGTACAAGTGGGGAGCCTGGACTTTCATCTCTTCCCGGCAGTATCAGGGCACTCCCTCCCCCAAGGGGTATCAATGAAGGCTGTAAGGAGCCCAGTGGACTTCACTCTCCATCTGGCAGTAAACTGGCAGTGTTCCTCTTCCCCTGCTAGTGTGGTGTCAGTGGAAGCCTACTAGTAAAACAGAAGATTTAAATAAGATTGAGAGTTTTATAATCTCCAATATGCTCAGGATACAACTGAAAATCACTCATCATACTAAGAACCAGGGAAATCACAACCTCATTGAGAAAAGAAAATCAACAGATTACAACACCAAGATGATACAGATGTTGGAATTATGTATATGGAATTATAAAAGGATTTTAAAGCAGCCATCATAGAAATGCTTCAACAAGCAATTACTAACACACTGAAGACAAATGAAAATAGAGAAAGCCTCAGCAAAGAAACAGAAGATATAAAGAAGAACTAAATGGAAATTTTAGAACTGAAAAATCCAATATCCAAAATAAAAAGCTAACTCAATGGGCTCAACAGCAGAATGGAGGGGATGAAGGAAAGAATCAGTGAACTTGAAGATAGAACAACAGAAACTACTGAATCTGAATAAATAGAAAAATAGTCAATAAATTGGACTTCATCAAAATTAAAGAGACCTTATTGAGAAGGATGAAAAGATAAACTGAAGACTGGGAGAAAATATTTGCAAGCCACATATTCTGACAAAGAACTTGTATCTAGAATATACAAAGAATTATGAAAACTCAACAGCGAAAAAGTAACAACTCAATTACAAAATGTACAAAACATATGAACAAACATTTCATCAAAAAGGATATATGGATGTCAAATAAACACATAAAAAAAGTTCGACATTATTAGCCATTATGCAAATTAAAACCACAATGGGATAGTATCACATACCTATTAAAAACAACTAAAACATAGTTACAATATCGAAGGCTGATGAGGGTGCAGCATTTGATAATTGAAACTTGATCACTTATATACTTCTGGTAGGAATATAAATTGGTACAGTCATCCTGGAATATACTTTTGTAGTTTCTTAAAAAACTAAACATACACTTACCATACAACCTAGCATTTGCACTCTTGTGCAATTATCTCAGAGAAATGAAAACTTATTGTCCACAAAGAAACCTCACACAATGTTTATAGCAGCTTTATTTATAATAGCTAAAACTTAGAAACAACACTCATGTCCTTCAATGGGTCAATGGCTAAAGCAGTACATTCATACCAGGGAATACTATTTGTCAATAAAAAGAATGAACTATTGATACATGCAACGATGTTGATGGATCTCAAGGGAATTATGATTTGTGATAAAGCTAATTTCAAAAGGTTATATACTATATGATTCCACTTAAAAACATTCTCAGAATGACAAAATCATAGAGATGGAGAACACATTACTGGTTGCCAGAAGTTAGGGATGCGAGGGTGGGAGGGAGGAGAAGAATGTGACTATAAACTAGTAGCACAGGGGACATATTGGTGGTGATGGAGCAGTTGTATATCTTGGTTGTGGTGGTGGTTAGATGACTCTACACATATGATAAAGTTGCAGAGAACTATACACACACATACTTGAGTGAATGTAAAATTGGTGAAATCTCAATAAGGTCTTTGAATTGTACCAATGTCAATATCCTGGTTTTGATATTGTACTATAGTTATGTAAGATGTTACCAGTGGAGTAAACCGGGTGAAGGGTACGCAGGAGCTCTCTGCACTATTTTTGCAACTTCCTATAAATCTGTATTTATTTCATAATAAAAAGTTAAAAAGAAAAGAAAACAAAAGAAAAGCGTCGAAAAGCAGGAATTATCATACCTGAGCTGATGCAGCTCATGCTGCCAGGAGAGGTTTTCCTGCCTGAGCTCTTCTTGCATAATCTGAAATGTTTTTGTCTTATCTTGATACTCCTGAAGTTGAGCCTTCAGTGGACGTAACTCAGTGATTTCTTGATTAGTCTGTAAGTATTGCTGTTGCAGATTCTTCAGTTCTTTCAGCTTTAACCAAAGGGAAAGTAAAAGGGTGATTCACCACATCTCATTCACCCTGCTCTAAGTCACCAGCAGCTCCCTACTAAGTCAGTCAGACAACATGACAGACCACCGGCACCAAACAGTCCTTTGACAATTCATTGCAGCATGAGTCCCTAAAATGGTGGAATACGTGCAGCCAGGCTGGTGGGAATCACCCCATGGAGCTGCCATCAAGGCTGCAGGGCCTGACCATTCCTGCAACTTCTCCCCCAGTCTCCAACCCCTGAAGTCCTAAGTTGACTCTAAATCTACAACTCTGACATGGGATAGACTTAAGGGACCTACAGCTTCTTTGTGGGTGGTAACTCCCCAGAACAAGAAGTGCCAAGACGGACCGGCTTTCTATTTAGCCATGTGCTTTGGTTAGGTATCTAAACTTACATGGATATCAACCTTAACTCTAGCCTAGCTGATGTTGATTATAAAGAGGCAGTGGTGCCCAGGCCCAATGTTAAGAGCATTTAGGCTTTGGAGTCAGATGTCCTGTTCGTCTGGGTTGTGTGACCCTATGTATGCTCCTCATACCCTCTAAGCCTTAATTTCCCTCACCCATAAAATGAAGATAATTACAGTACCTCTCATAAGATTATGAGAATTAAATGAGAAAATTAATGTACTCCACACACAAAGTTAGTGGTGATGATGATGATGACGATGATGATGGTACAATGATGATGGACTTGTCTTTAATTAGCAAAAGTGCCTATCTATATTCCAGGTATATCTTTAACCCCAACACTCATTAAAAGCTTGGTAGTAAGAAATAACGTCAGGACATCTGGACAAAGAGGGGGGCCTTGAACACACATCTCTTTTACCCACTCTGGAAACATCACTAAAGCTACAATAAAAGCATCATTTTTTAAAGCATAAAACACAAGAACAGGAAGAACAAGAGAGAAGTTGGCAGCAACAAAATTAGTTTTGGAAGCTGAAAAGCAGATACATACATGGTTAACAGACTTAACAGATCTGGGAAAGCCAAATCTTAAGCTGGCAATAGGGAAAGCCATGAACCAAGAGAACTTACTCTGCAGAATCTTCAAAAGGCTCAGGAATTAACAGCACCAGGTACCTCTGGAAAAGATGGTGATGGGGGAGGAAGGGGGTGGTAGCTGAAATAAGGAGGATTAGATGAAAGCTGCTTAAGAAACAATTGCATCCCTACTCTCCTCAGCTCCACGTATTTTGTTACTCTGACAGACAACTAGAGTTTTATTCTCTGGAGAAGGTAAAAGAAGTGTCTCTGGACTGTGGAACCCCAGGCACAGCTGAAGGTAAGGGTACTGCTCTAAAACAAGGGTGATCAAGTGAATGTATGCTTTCTGAATGCTTTAAGCCTTTCCCTTGCTCAGCTTGGAGAGTGCTGGCACACAGGCCTTTACCATCCATGCAGGAAGGGAGAAGTCTCCTCTAGAAAATCTGACCAGCCCAAGAGGAACTAAAAATACCAACGTGGAGACTACCCACAAAAACCTCAGCAAACACCCCACAATGAAATTCACAGCTGGTAAGCCCCACCCACAAGCTTTTTAGATCCTACCCTTAAACATGAAGAGTAAACCAAGGATTAACCCTCACCTGCAGAACGGCTAACATTAAGGCAGGGATGAAAAGAAACTAGAAGAAAAGTAATTTGGAAGAGATTACCAAGTGAAAGAATGTTATATACTCAAAGATTTAAGAGGGAATATTGGAGATAAGAAACATTATAGCAGAAATAAAAAATTATAAAGAAAAACTCACTACAAGAAAGCTTTAAAGAACAAAACTATCACTACTATTCTTGAAGAGATAAGAGCCTATATCCATGAGACAGGCAAAAAAAAAAAAAAAAAAAAGAAATCCTTAGAAATTAGGAACAGGACGGCCAAAATGAAAACTTCGATATAGCGTTCAAAAGATGAAGGTGAGAAAATCTTCCCAAAGCATAGCAAAAAGAATAGAAAAGGTAAGAAAATTACAGAACCAATCCAGATGGTCCTACATCTAAATAACAGCATTTTCAGAAAAAAGACAATAGAGAAAAAGGATAGGGGAAAATGGTAAAACATAATTCAATAGAATTTCCCAAAATTGATGAGTATGACTTCTTAGATTCAAAGAATTAGACAGAATGATGAATGAAAATAGACCCACACCAAAGTACATTATCATGCAATTTCAGAACACACAGAACTAAAAGATTCTACATATTTCGAGAGAGAGAGAGAGAGATGAGAGATGAAAGGGAGAGGGGGAGAGAAAGAGTGAGAAACAGATCACAAACAAAGGATCAGGAATCAGAAGAACTTTAGACTCCTGAACCACAATGTAAGCTAAGAGGCAATAAACCAATGTCTCCACAATTTTGAAGGGAAATTACTTTCAGCCTAGAATTCTATACCCACGCAAACTATCAGTCAAGTATAAGAGATGAAAAGACATTTTCAATAAATTTACCTCCCCTGTTATCTCTTCTTAGGGAGCTACTACTGAATGATTTATTCTAATGGAACGATGGCACAAAACCAAGTCGAGGAGGATACGGAATACAAGAAACAGGAGATCTAATACAGGAGAGAGGTGAAGGGCGATATTCTAGGATGAAAATTGTGTCCTAGAAGTACAGGGCAACTGGTTCACACAAGAGCACGAAAGAGACTCCAGGGGAATTTTCTTTATAAAGACAAAATTGATAGGAATTAACATTTTGAGAGGAGATGTGGATAAATGGTAGTAAATCTAGGGTGAAATTACATTGATAAGTGCAAAGAAAACTAAGTAAGTAACAACAAAAATAGTTCTTAACTAGGAAAAACAAAGATATTGAGGAAAATAAAAGTAACACATCTCAGCTCTAATAGCATTTGTAGTTATAAAAATGTAAACACTGAATATTGATTTAACTAAAATTAAAATTAAATTAACATCAGGAGAACGGGGAAGGAGTTGTATAAGGAAAATGTGCGAATGTACCATGGAAGCGGTGGGAGTAAAGCAAACTAAACCCTGTTAACACAAAAGAAAGTGAGTAGCTAACGCAAAGAATGAAAAGCCAAGACGCACTATGAGCATGATATTTAGGTAGTGAGTAAACACCAAAATAATAAATTAAAAGGGTTGAAAGCAAATTGCTTCTAGAGAAGGAGAAACAGGGTTGTGGGTGCTACTGTTTATTTTTCTCATCAAATATTGTAGAATTTAGTGACTCATTAAATATGTGTGTATAGCTTTATTTTTTAATCAAAAACTAAAATAAAAACATATTTTTGTTTTGTTTTAAAGCAAAAATATATTCTTCATGCAATCCACTCACTCCTCTAGTCCAGATACTCTAAATGTAATCCTTGGAATAGACCAGATCATCAGAAAGCTTTGTGTCTGGGACTGCGTTTTAGCCACTTGTAGAGGTACCTTTAGTGAACTGTACAAAATTCTTTTGCTATGCACTTACATCAAGAGACAGCTAAATAAAAACCCTACGAAACTATTATCATATTTACTGTAGAGAAGTAAAGGATGTTTCACTTCATAGTGTCCTCTCTATGGAAACACAGAAGAAATTTCTTGCAGGCCTCAATACTTAAATAATAACTATTCCTATCTTGAACAAGTTTTTCTTTTTACCTTTTTCCTAAAATACAGACACTGTAATTCATGCACATGGTTTTTTCATTTCCTATTTCTGATGGTTGCCAGAAAGCTCAGAGCAAAAGTAGTGGCCCATCTTTCTAACAGAATATTGTGACATCTCCTTGGGACACTAAACTTACTCCTGCTTTAATCTTTTTCTCTCCTATCCTTATTGTCCCTTCCTTCCCAGTTTCTTGTAATACATTATCTTGAAAAACTGTTCACATCTTTATATGCTACCTCAAGTCATTTTCAGAATAAAGTGAGTATAGGTAAACAAATACAGGGACCTGTAAACAAATACAGGGACCTGTAGAGATTTGCTCTCCATCCTTTACATAGGAATTGTCTAAGTGCTTCATCTGATTACGGGAAAGTCCTAAGGAAGTCTGGACAGGTATGAAAACTCCAGAATGTTTTCAGAGTTGTTTGTTATACCCTCGTGGAATTCCCTGGGCTAATGACCTGCCTCAGATTTTATTTGGAAAACTTCCCCTTGACCAAGTAAAGAAGAGAACCAAAGTGACCTAAGTCCCTTTTAGACCTAAATCATCTCTGGGGTGGTCCTGAGGGAAAGGGTGTGTAGTGTAGGCAGAGGTGATAACTGCTGGCCTAGGCTGAATGTTTAAACTGATAGCGAATGAAATAAGATATCTCCCATATTTATCGTACATGCAGCCACTGATTCAGAGACTAGAAACTTCAAAGACCATTGAGACAGACTGAAAACAAGATATGTGGAAGAGAAGAGTTGATGGACAGTCAACAATACAATGAGAAAGTACGCTGAAAGGCCTCAGCAGACTGCAGCAGACCAGTATTCAGTATCACCGAGTCAGACTGTCTGGCCTTCACGTGGTTTATAACCCCGCCTAGGCTTTATGATTCGTTCATGGCAGACGTAAAAGCCTCAGTCTCAAAAGTTCCCATAACTCCCCTACATGACAGTTTTATGAAATGGAGAAAATAGTGCTCTCAGTAACAACTACAAATATAATGACTACCAACTGTTGATTATCTACCATACAATTAATTACCCCAATGCTAAAAACCATGGGAAATACAAACAAGTACAAGACATGACACTTACTTACCAGGAGTTTGCAATCTAATTGGGGAAAGAAAAATAAGTGTACAGAAATTAAACACACATAGATACATACGCACACACACACCAAGACAATATGGGACAAAGGAAAAGAAAAGCACTAGGGACATACAAACAGAAGGTAACAGACAATCAAATGATCTGGAAATGCAACCAGAGGATTTGAGCTCTGGGGTGACCTTTAAAGACCAGGAAACATTTGCCCAAAAAAGGAAAATTGGGAAGGCATTTTGGTTGAGAGAATGGTAATGTAAGTAAGTAGGAAGTACTAGATATGACTATTGCATAATAAGTAGATCAGTATGGCTGGAATGAAGAGTATGAGCAGGGGACAGTAAAAGGGAAGCCTGGAAAGAAGGCAAGGACAAATTATAGGGTCTTAACTGCCAGACTAAGAGGTCCGAATCAGCTTAGGAACTATTCTAGAGATAGTACAACGTTTAAATGTTTTTGAGTAGTGTGGTAATAAGAAAGTAGAGTTTCAGAAAGATTTATTCAGCAATGATATATACAATGTACTGGAGAGGTGACAAACTGGGAGCAGCAAAATTACAACAGTTTAAGGGTAAGGTGTTAAGAACTTATCCTACCTAAGATGTTGATGATGGAAAAAAAAAGAGATATTTGAGGCACATTGTGAATAAAGAAATGATAGACCTTGATGATTAAATGAAATAAAATCATAGCCTTAGGGAACAGATAAACACTACTATGAATTAGACAAAAATGGAAATAAAAAAATCCTGGTTTGGCTTATAAATATCCAGCAAACAAAAATGTGAAATGGGGGTCGACAGACAGAAAGTTAAGTCCCTAGTATTTACACTAGATAAGAATAGTAAAGCAGTTCACTGAATGAAACATAGTTAACTCAGAATCTATCCTAACAGCTTCCAGGAAACAGATTTTGACTTAGAAGATAATCAACACCTGAGTGTTATAAAATACAGCTTTGAGATATATACTGTCCTGATGAAAATCTTTTACATTTGCATTCTGAAAGCAATGACAAAAGGTTAAGCTCCTAGGACAAAGTCAGATGAACTCAAACTATTTTAAAAATATAAACAAATATGCATAAATTGTATTGATGTCAAAACTATAGCTGAAAAGGGGGGCTTTGTTAGATTACAAGAGGGAAAAGATTGTCTGTTGGATATTAGCGTAATATGAATGAACACATTACGTACAAAGAAAAAGAAAAATTTGCACAACACTTTACAGTTAGAGGAAATGATCTTTTCACTAGGGCTAATCTTAAAAACTAGAATTTTTTTTTTTTTCGTGAGGAAGATTGGCCTTGATCTAACATCTGTTGCCAATCTTCCTCTTTTTGCTTGAGAAAGATTGTCCCTGAGCTAACATCTGTGCCAATCTTCCTCTATTTTATATATGGGACGCTACCACAGCATGGCTTGATGAGCAGTGTGTAGGTCCGTGCCTGTGATCTGAACTCGCAAACCCTGGGCCGCTGAAGCAGAGCATGCAAACCTAACCACTATGCCACCAGGCTGGCCCCAAAACTAGAATTTTCATATTCTGGGCATGGGTCAGTCACTTTTAAAAGTGGAAAATCCAGACTTTTCAGGCTCAGTTTATTTCCTATTTGGCCTAAGTACATAGCCTCGACAGAGTTAAGAGACTGTCATTAAAGTGAAGATAGTAATGTCACAAAGTAGAATCCCCTGGCAACCTATCTTGGCTCACATAGTTCCAGTTTTTGCCTCTGAATCTTGGTGACCTGAAAGTTTTCAGAAAAAAAGACCTTGATTAAACTACTGGATCCTACTAAAGGCAGCAAAATTTTAGCATTAGAGATCCTCCTTATCTTTCTCTCAGATTGAAAACAAGTTGGGTGGGAAGGGGGTGAACAGTTCAGTCTGCAAATAAAACTTTACTAAATAGTCATTTAAATTTATTTAAATTAACCCTTTTTACATTTAACTTTTTTTTGACAAATTAGGGTTAAATTATACATAAGTATGAGACAAGCTGAGTCCTCTCTACCCTTAATTCTACCAGAGGATCTGTTGCTAAACTGTCACTGTAAGAAAGCATTGAGTGATCCCTCTACTTTTGTTCAATTAAACTATGACAAATTCTGGAAACATTTATGTGTGTGTGTATAAAATATATAAAATAGCTTTTCATCTCTTGGTCCTTTTACAACCAGTGGAGAGTTTTGTGCAAAGGAAATTCGTAATTTTTTCAAAATGGTACTGGCAGATTTAAAGTAATTTAAATAATGCTTCTGTGTTTTTCTAAAACCAAACAGAACCTGTGGGATGTATAATACTGTCCCGGAGTGCCCAGAGAATACGTATAAGAATTTGTTTCTCCTTTTCTATAGAAGTGAAAATCAATTTAAAGAAAGGTTCAAAAACTCTCAAATGAAGATCAGAAAGAAAGAATTAGACACTCACTAGTCGGTCTCTGTCATTTTGGAGTGATGACATAGCTTTTTTTAAACTCTGTACTTCAGCTGGGCTGGTTGCAGGCTGGGCTGCAGACCTCTGCTTCCCTTCCTCTGACTTGCGGAATTTCCCCAGTTCATTCAGCAGGTGATCTCTCTCATTCTGTAGACTGGCCATAGCCTTGGAAAAGGACTGCACTTGGTTGTAAGAGTCTTCTAGTTGTGACGACAAGTGAAGCAGTTGCTCATCTTTGGATAGAAGCTGTTGGTTAAGTTTCTCAAGGTGAGGTGAGCTGTTATCCTCAGTGGAGTTTACTGGAAATGCAGCTTTAGAAACAAGAACATCTCTCTCTCTGCTTAAGAGGCCCTGTTCTTCTCTCAGCTGTGCCAACTCCTTCAGACTGGCATCATATTTCCTTTTCAGTTCATCAAGCTCCTCATTAGCATGATCTCTACTATTTTGCAGGGAACTCATAGACCTTCCAAAAGATTGGATTTGTGCTGTGAGATCTTTATTTTCTTTGGTGACCATGAGTAACTTCTGTTCCATCTCCACCAGATCTCTTGCTAGCTCCGCCACCCTCTCTTCTGCTGTTTCAGTTTCATTTCGCATTATCCCTGCATCGTGATGAAGATGCTTTAACTCTTTCTTCAGTTTATCTTCAATTTCACCCACCTTCTTGGCAGCTTCCTTCTGAACATAAACCAATTCCTCTTCCAGTTCTGTAATTCTCTTCTGAGAGGAGGAAAGGGTAGTATTTAACCTCTGTACCTCTTCTTCTTTTACTTTTAATTGGGCCTGAAATATTCCTACAGTACTTTCTTCTTGCAAGGCTGTCAATTGTTTCCTTAGTTGAGATATAGATACTTCCAAGTTCTCAATCTCTTTAGATAAACCTTGTTTCTCTTCCTGTAGGACAATAGAGGACCTCTGCAGATCCTCCTTTGCTGCCTCAGACTCCTTTAGCTTTTCTTCTAATTTAGCATATTCACTTTTTAGCTCCTTATTCTGCTGAAGCTGAGCTTCAAGGAGTTGCTTTTGCTGATGGTCCTTTCTTGATATCACTTGGTTCAGGTCTTCTCTATATTGGATCAGTTCTGCATCTAGCTTGGCATTCTCAGAATTGAGATCATCCATATGACTCCTCAAGCACCGAATTTCTTCTTTAAGCTTATTATTCTCGGCAGCAGCGTCTTGGATGAGTTGGTCTTTTTCCAAGATTACAGAGAGATGTCGCTCTTCTAGCTGTTGGTAGTCACCGACTATGCGGTCACGGTCATCCTGGAGAGAAGACATGGATTTAACGAAGGAGTTCAACTGAGCCTTCTGCTGCATGTTTTCCTTTTTGATGGTTTTCAGTGTTTCCATAAGCTGATTGGTTTTGTCAACGGCTTTTTTGTTCTCCTCTTCTAAGACGATATTCTCCTCTTCCTCCTGGGACAGCAGATTTTCCAATTCTTTAATTTGTTTATCATGTTGCTGATGCAGTTCAGCAACAGCTACTTGGATTGCCTGTTCTTTGGCAGAAACCAGGCTTATAATCTTCTGCTCTTTCATGTTTATTTCTTCATGCAGCTTACTGGTCAGTTGTCTGGAGGCCTGAAGATCAGTCTCTAGCTGTTCATAACTGAACTTATGGTTTTGGATATCAGCCTCTTGCTGCTTTATGATCCCTTCCAAATTTTCTTTATTTTCCTTACATTTTTCTAAAGAGTTATTCAAATCAATTGACTGGTCTCTGAGAATCTTCAATTCTGATTCCAACTTAGCCAATTCATTCTGAGAATTGTGGTACAGATGTCGAGTCTCTTCTAGCTGGGACAAAAGTTCTTTGTTTTCCCCCTGGAGAGTATCACAGATCTTCTGCTGAAGCTGGACCTCTGTCTGGGCCTTGGACTCCCAAATCTGCTTGTCATGTTCAAGCCTAGAAAAAAAAGAGAGGTCATTAATTACAGATTTCAAGGAAAAAGTACTTGATGCCTAAGGAACATCTACATACATATCTGAGCACAAAACATGTACTCAGATCTATAAAAGAATCAATATTCATAATCGAAGGTGTTTATCTTTTTAATGAAGAGATATTAGTTCTACGGAATGCTCTGTATTAAAGGTATATTGCACCTAAGCACTCATCTATTTAAACCATAAACTCCAAAGTATGTTGCTTATTTTAATGACATGACTTTGGACACTCTAAAAAGTAATACTTTCCCTTATTTTGCTTTACTTTGCTCCAGACACTCTAAAAAGTAATACTTTCCCTTATTTTGCTTTACTTTGCTCCAGACAAGTTAATGTCTGGCCCCTTAAAGGAATAATCTTGGTATGAGAGACAATGAGGAAACCTGTCTCAGAGCAGAAGGATTCTATTAAAAGTAGAGGAGTACAAAGTGTGGGGGACATTGTTAGTTCTTGAGCTTGAAAAGTGATAAAAAAGTGGAGTTTGAGGAAAATAACTCTAAAAGGCATATGCAGTATGAATTGATGTGGAATGTGGAGAAGAGAAAAAGAGGAGATCATTTAGGAGGCAAGGGCAATAATTTGGGAGTGCTACAGTAAAAAACCAGACAAGGGTAGTGGAAATGAAAATGAAAAGACAGGGAGAAATCTAAGAGATCTCTCAATAGAAAGATGGGAAGAGAAGCAGTTGTGAATTTTTCATGTTAATACAAGTTATTGCAGAAAGTCATTTGCTAAAAAAAAAAAGAGAGAGAGTCAGAAGCAAGAGAGAATATATCTTCTAGGGGAATTTAAGCCAAAATTAGTTCCATAATATTAAAGGGAATAGAAATAGTTTAAATAGAGACTTTCTTTGCTTTCAATTGCCTTTGGAAGAGTAAAAAAAATTTATTATTCATTTACCTAGAAATGTTGATCTTCAATTCCTCCATATGGATGGACATCTGCTTAAGTTGATCCTTTAGAACACTGCAATTCTCCTCTTTGAGTCTAATTTCTTCTTCTTTGGTTTGAATAGCATCACTGAACTTCCTCTCCCATTTCTTGGCTTCATCTATCACCCTGTCCCGATCATCCTGGAGGGAAGACATGCTCTTAGTGAAAGCTGCAAGCTGGGCCACAGTACTATCCAAGTTCTCCTGAAGTTGCTTAACTTCTTTGTCTTTCTTGTTCAAAGTCATCTGAATCTCTCCAAATGTCTCTTCTAAGTGGACTTTTTCTCTACGCAAAGCATCCAGCTTCTCTTGCATATTCTTCTTCTCTTTCAGGTGTTTCTCTTCTACCTGCTCCAGTCTACGCTCAAGATCTTCATCCTTTTGTTTCATTTGGCTTTTAACTGATTCTTTATTTGACTGAAGTTCCTTCTTCAACTTGAGATTGTCTGCTAGAACCCTTGCTGCTTCACTTTGAGTGTCATCTAGCAGTACTTTGAAGCTAGCTAATTCTGTTTCTGCCTTCTGGCGGTTTTCAGTGGCTTGAGCCAAATTTTCTTTGGTTATTTCCAAATCTTTTTGGGACTCAGTCTGAACAAATTCTAGGGCCTTAACAGTTCTCTCCAGGGCACTAATTTTCTCTTGGTACCTGATGCAGTCCTTCTGCAGCTGCTTTACTTCCTGTTGTTTTTCTTTTAACAGCTCCTGAAGTTCCTTTGCATGGCTCTTATTGCCAGGTCCTTTCTGAGCACCTTGTATTTTCTCCATATATTCCTTTCGTATTTCTGATTCCACCTTAGTTTTCTCCTTGACTAACTGCTGCTTTTCTTCTTCCAATTCACTCACACACTTTTTAAGGTTCTGCATTTCAGACTCCAGCAGCTCATTTTTCATTTGGGCATCTGTAACATCCTGATAATAATTCCCAATGCTTCCATTAAGTTCTGCTAATTGATTCATAAGCCTCTCTTCCAAATCATCTTTCTCTTCTTCTGCTGTCTCCTTTAGCTTGGTAACTCGGGCAAGTTCTTCTTGGATTTGCTGATTTAAAAGGTTAATTTTGGTTACTTCTTCCTGAAGCATTTTTAGTTCACTATCTTTTGCTGACATCTGATTCAGCAAAGCATTTCTCTCATTTTCTAAAGTCTGGCCAAATTCTTTTTCTTTCTGCTTCTCCTCCTCTAATTCAGCAATGCTTTCTTTGAGCTGATCAATCTGCAGCAGATAGTTATTAATTTCATCATGTGAGCTGAAATTCTCAGTTATATCAGGCTTGGCACTGTTCTCTGATAGAATGGATTCTGAATATTCAGGCTTTGTGCTCACGCTCGGAGAGTCTTGCTCATCAGCTTCACCTGGGACAGTCTGTGTGGCCTCTTCAAGGACATTCATTTGGTTATCGTGTTTCTCAGTGGCCTCTAGGCTAGCTTGTTTGGATACATTACCTTCTATCTGATGCTTTAAACCTTGAACCTCTTCACTTAGGGAGTCCTTTTCAGCCATTAAAGCCTCAAACTCCTTAGAAAGGGTTTTATACTCTGTTTTGACCCTTTCTAGTTCCTCCTTCATGTTGGAATTGGAACTTCTTTCTTCCATACAATCTTTAGATGTACCTCCTGCAGGAGGTACTTCTGCTCTAAGCCGGTCGTTCTCTTCTTCTAACTCTAGGATTTTCTGCTGTTTTGATTTAGCAAACTTTCTCATCTTTTCTTTCATTTCTTCCATTTCCTGTTCAGTTTCCTGCAACTGCTTTTCTGTCTCTTTCTTGTTTGCTTCTACACTCCTTAACTTGCCATATAGTTCTTGCTTCTCTTGTCTCACGGCTTCCACCACATGCTGAATCCTCTCTGCCTCATTACTAACATTCTCATAGGACTGCAGAAGAATTTCATATTCTTTTTGTAACTCTTTGTGTTTGTCTTGCCACTCAGTGCTTTCTGCAATCTTAGAACATTTCAAAGATTCAATTTCCTTCACTAAGTTTTCCTTGTCTTTAGTAAGACCCTCCAGAGCTAATTTCAGACTTTCACAAGAGCCATTGAGACTCTGATTTTCCATTAATGATCTGTCCATTTCTGCAATGAGTTTGTCTCTTTCTTCCTGAAGAAGAGCTAACTTTCCTAAGAATGTATCTTTTTCTTTATTTTGAGCAGAAACTTGGCTTTCCACATCTGTCAGAGACTTAGTGAGATGTTCAATGGTATCTCTGGCCAAAGACAACTCCTCTTGGAGACCTTTGTTTTCTTTTAGTGCTTCTTTTCGGGAAATAAGGGCAGCTTGCAGCTTCCTCTGTATTTGTTGCTTTGCTTTACTTTCTTCTCCAGTCTCTTCTGGTTTTTGCTTCATTTCACAAAGTTCCACCTGTAACTGCTTTATCTTCTCATCATGTTCTTTGGCTTGCATTTCCAGCTGTGTACGCAAAGCCTTAATTAAATCCTCTTGTTCTATTATCTCTGTCTGCACTTTAGTAAGGGCTTTTTCTTTCTCGCTAAGCTGTCCAGAAAGGTATCCAACTTCTTCTTCCTTTTTGCTTAAGAGTTTTTGCAGTTCATCTAGTTCAGGCTGTAATTTTCTTAAATGTTCTAGTCCAGCAATTTCTAGTTGACTGCTTTCCAGTTTCTCCCTCAGGCTCTCTGTGTGGGCTTCAGCTTCCTGGGATGCTGCCTTCAGACTTTGGATTTCTAAACCCTGTTTATTTATCTGCTCTTGTAACTGAAATATCTCTTCTGATTTTTTGGTAAGCTCACTTGTTGTAGAACTAACCTTCAATTCTAATTCTTCTTTCTCAGCCTCTATTTCTTTCAGCTGGGTCTTAATCTGAGCAACAGAAGTACTGCCCTGCAGAGCACTTGCATCTTCAGGATGAGAAGGCCAGTCTGGGCACAAGTCAGACCCCAAAACAGGTTGAGCAGGTTGCTGCTCTGTGGCTTTGAATAAAGTTTCTTCTAAACCTTGAGCGGGAGAGCTCGGTTCCTGCTGGTCAGTGCTTGGGAGTTTTCTGTCTATAGACTCCCTTACTTGAAACTGGAGTCGCCTTAGCTGGTCTCCCATGTTCTCGTTTTCCTTGCTTTGCTCATCGAACTGTTCTCTCAAGCGATTATAGTCATCTTTCTGTTGCTTTAGCTCTTCCTTAAGATGTCTTTCTTTCTCCTGCGCCTTTTTTAGAATCACCTTGCGAGAGGTTAACGCTTCCTGTAGCTTCTTTTGAAGTTGCTCCTTTTCTTTTTCGAGGTCCAATATCTTTTCTTCCAGTTCTGGTTTCCAGTGTTCTCCACCGCCTGCACCAGGTGGACTGATCGCCTCTGTTTCTTTTACAGGTGCTGCTGAGTCTCCATCACCTGCATCCTTATTACCTGTGGTTAACTTTCGGATAATTGCTTGGTTTTCGATGATTTCTGCTTGGAGCAAATCTATTTGGTTTGTCTTCTCGTGCAGGTTCTGATTCATTTGTTTGACCACAGCCTGTAACCGTTCTTCGGCTGCTGCCTTTTCTTCCAAATCCTTCCTTATGTGCTCTAGTTCCATTTCTTTCTCAGATATTGTCTGTTTTAAAGAAATTTCTATTTCTTGGCCCTTAGAAGTCATACATTTTTCTGAGTCCTCTTTGCTTTCCTTATCTTCCTCCATCTCCCCCCTCTCACTCTCATTGAGTGGGATCTCTTTTCTAGATTCATCTTTCACTTTGGCCAATTCCTCTTCCAATCTACTGACTCTCTGTAGAAGTTCCTTCCTGTTAATAAGAGCTGCCTGGAGCTTTCTCTTTCTCTGCTCACTTTCTTTCTTTACAAGGTCTAATTCATGCTGAAGTTCTTCTTTACTTATTAGCCCGGCTGGGCTCAACTCATCATAATTCTGCTTAAGGCCAGAAACAACTTCTTGATCTTCTTCCACTTGCTCTTTTTTTGCTTCCTCAGCTCTGGATAATAAATTCAGCTGTTCTTTGAGAGTCTTAATTTCAACTCCAAGTGAAAACTTCTCTTCATTGAGCTGAACCATTTTCTCAGACATACTAAAGCTGATTTCTGTCACTTGCTGATCCTTCTCCTCAATGGTTTGTTGGAGGGTTTCCACATCTCTCTTTTTCTCTAGTAAGAGTTGATCCATTTTTGCTATTTCAAGTTCCTTCTGTGAAAGAGCCTGTGAAAGTTCTTCCATCTTATTTGAGATATCCCTCACATGTTCTGCTCCCTCAAGCACTTCACTTTCCTTCTTCTGCAGCTGGCTTTGCAGACTTTTTATCAGTGTATTCTGCTCAGAAAACTGAAGCTGCACATCATCCAGTTCATTCTGTAGAACTTCAATTTTCACATCTTTAGATTTGGCTTCTATGCTGAGACTGTGGATCTGTTCAGTAAGCAAGTTGTGATGAGCAGTTTGACTTTCATAGTCAAGTCTTCTTTGCCTTTCTGCTTCTGCAAGGTTCACTTCCAGTTGTTGTACCTGAGCCCTCAGTTCTGTTACTACACTAAATTCCTTCACCTGAGAAAGAAGCTGGTCTCTTTCTTCAGACAAAGCACTGAATGCACTGTTGGTGTTTTCTGCATTTTTCTCTAACTCTTCAATCAACTGGGTTAGGTTGCTTATTTCCTTAGCTTTGTCATCTAAATTTTTCTCATAGGTTTCTTCTGCTTTATGAAAGCTTATCTCAAGCTCCAAAATTTGACTTTTTAGTCTTTCCAATTCATCCTGGTGACTCTCACAAATATCTGGTACAGCAGAAGCCAGGTTATCAACATCACCCTGCTTTGCTGATTTCAATTCCATTCCAGTGTCATTCAGAGATATTTCCTCAGATGTTCTTTGTGGATGTTCAGTGCTCATCTGCTCTTCTTTTTCAATTGTTGGAAGACTGCCCTCTTCATTTGGCACTGGGGGAAAATGCTGCCCTGTATCTTCAGGCAATACTGTCATTCTAACTGGAGATACTCCTTCATTCTCTATCTGCTTCATTTCTTTCTGGTCAAGGACCTCAGCGTCCCCCTCTGCCCTTTTACCCTGGAGCTGCAACTTAAGAAATGCAATCTCCTCTTGAGCTTCTTTCATTTCCAGCAATAAAACTGATAGTTCTTTATGTTTCTGGGAAAATGTGTTCTCTAGCACATCTTGTCCACTTTCCTCGGCAGAAGAGCTACTCTTGTTGAGCCTGGTAATATCAACTCTGCTGATCTATTTTAAAAAAAAGAAAGAAAGAAAATGTTTTTTTAAGAAACAGCCTAACTGAAAACTGTATTTTTTTCCATTTACCAAAACCTGAAATTTTGCAGTCCAAACCTTCCTACCATAAAACTGCTAAATACTTTTAAAATCAGTTTTTATTTTCTCAAATTGGACCTCTAAGGGCTCTCTGTCAAACCTGCACTGAGGTCAAGACAAATTCATAATACCTAAGGAAACACGGAACTCATTTTCTAGACATTCCTTACTTGGAAACTTTTTTTCTTAAGATTAAAACTTCTACTTGTTTCTCCTAAGAACTGCTTAAAAATAAAAAGAGGAGCAGGAAATGACTAAACTTTTGTTTCACCCCATGCCAAGGAGGAAGGTATGGGATTCCTTTTCCTAAACTATCAATTGAAATGAGAAACATTTGATAAGATAGCCATTAACAGATAAGTAGATTATCAAACAAGTAGATTGAGAATAATTACCAGGATGAAATCATCAAAAAGGAGTTCTGCTGGGGCTTGGGTATGAAATTATGGACATGTTTGACAAAATAATTACCAAGTTGTTATTACAAAGCTTACTGTGTTAGACTGCTCAATCCATAAAACTTCTTCCTCTAGTTGTTTTCTTGGGAAATGAAATCAGTGAATCTTATAGTAAATTTAACTAGTGTCTTATTAAATGAGTTTGGGGACAGTGTACACAATAAAATCTCCGCCTTTGCCAACAGCACCTTTTTTTTCCCCCAGAAAAAAATTTCAACTTGATAGGAGGAAAAAAACCCATAGGATTGTCAAATAATGTAGTGGCCAAGAGGACAAGCTCTGAGCTTGCCTACCTGCGCTCACATCTTAGCTCTGTCATTACTAGCAGAAGCTGGCACAGAGTAAGTAGTCAATGAATATTAGCTATTATCTTGGTATCATTCTCAGCCACTAAGAAAAAAATATTCATTATACTAGAATTTATTATTTTAAGAAAAGTTATCTCATTTTTCATAAGCATTATTTTTAATCATTTACAATTCTTCACTCTCTGCAGTACTCGTACTCAAATTTCTATAGACCAAAACTGGACACGGTGTTAGCATAGCGAAAAAGTTCCTTTATAATTTCTTCATGTCACGTTCCTATTTATCCATCCCTACTGACATTAACAACCTGATATAGTTCAGGCATCACTTCTGCCAGAAGACTTCAATGTAACTAACTCCTTTCTTATTCTCTTATCTAAGTATTCTTATTTCCTTTGTTCTAACTGTCACACCACTTCACTCACTCTCTTCCTTTCCTTAGTCATGCCCTCTGATGCTCCCCACAATATCCACCAAGTTCAACTAACTTTTTGGCTCACGTAGCAAATCAACGTCATTCCATAATGAGAGGGCAGAGAACCAGAGAACTCTGCTCTTTCTAGGCACTCTCATTACTTTCTGTCCTAATACTTGTCTTCCCCTTTTGGCTGCCCTTACACTTTCTATGAGCCTTCTCTACTCTCTCTTACCCCAAGGGATTATCCTAGTCACCCTGCCTTTTGCAATTCTTGTGTGGTTTATTTTTTCCCTTTCTTTTCCATTGTACCCTGTTTATTTGTTCTCCCTTCTGGTTGTTGTCTTTTTCTTTCTCTTTTTCTTAACAGATTCTCATCTTTCTTATCTGTTCTTTTTTGAGCTAAGTTATCTTATTTTCACTAGACATTACCACCAAGCATCTTAAAACATTAAGCACCCCCTTGGCCAAACAAGATTCATTTTTACTCTGGACTCTTGTAATTTGTCAGTAACCATATAATGCTACAATTTTCAAAATTTAGTCCCCTTTTGACAATGTTGTGAAGATAGCATCAGTGGCCCCAGGAAAAGATATATAAATGTGGTGATTAATTTTATGTGTCACCTTGGCTAGGCCATAGGACCCAAATACTTGGTCAAACGTTATTCCAAATGTTTCTGCGAAGGTATTTTATTGGTTGGATTAACATTTAAATCAGTAGACTTTGAGTAATGCAGATTACTACCTTCTATAATAGGAGTGGGCCTCATCCAATCAGTTTATGGACTTAACCAAAGACTAATCTCCTTCAAAAAGAGGAAATTCTGCCAGTAGTCTGCCTTGGGACTCAAACTGCAACTCTTTCCAGCTCTCCAGACTGCTGGCTTATGCTGCAGATTTTGGATTTGTCAGCCCCCACAACTGTGTGAGCCAATTCCTTAAAATAAATCTCTCTCTATATATGCACTTCCTATTAGTTCTGTTTCTCTGGAGAACTCTAATACACTAAGTAAGCAGATACTTCTGTTAAGAAGTTACCTTATTCCTTAAGGCCATTTATGATTCTGTCACTGACTTCTTGATTGGAAGAACATAGCTAAATAAACACAATATAACTAATAATAATCTTAACAGAATATTAAGCAACCACACATTTCTTATAGTAATTTTCAGGTATAAAAAGCATCATTCTCCAAAGATATCCTTTTTAATATAATCCTAAGTGAAACTATGGCGATTGGTGAGGGGGGACTAGACATTTTTATCTAATCTCTTCATTGACAAACTTCTGAGATGGGCAAAGAAATTGAGATAGATGATAGCCCATGAGAAATGGGTTATCAAATCCCAAATAAGTGGCTAATGTACTTATGTTGATTCAAGACAACTAAAAAAAATCAAAATATTCTAAAACAAATGAGAGTAAATGAAAAATAATGACTCTCTTAAATAAATCTCACTTTCTAGGTAATGTAATTCTCTGTCAACATTAGAAAATTGCTGAAATGTTTTTTAGGTTTGAGGCTACCTTCTCTTGATCTACTTCATATTTGGTTATTTTAAGAACACATCACTTACCTCACCGACTTCTCTATCTGCCCCTCCAGTTATATTCTGAGCCTCCAGGAGAGTAATCTGAGAAGACAGTTTTTCTGAAAGTCACAAAATAAATATTCTTAGAAGACATATGTAGAGTATTTGAAAAAACAGAGGCATGATTGTGTGGGAGCCTATTTGAAATGAATGAAATAATCAAGAGGAAAGAAACAGACAAACTAGTTTAGGGGAGATAAAAGGCATATTTTATTAAAATAAAGAAGTTGCAAGAGAAAATGAGATATAAGATAGAATGGTAAGACTTGTGGTTACCAGAGGCAAAGGCTGGAGGCGGGGAGCGGGCAATTGGAGGAAGGCGATAAAAAGGTACAAACTGTGTTATAAGATAAATAAGTACTAGGGATGGAAGGTACAACATGATGACTATAGTTAACTTGGCTGAATGATATCTAGTAAAGCTGTTAAGAGAGTAACTCTAAGAGTTGTCATCACAAGGAGAAAATTTTTTTTCCTTTATTCTTTTCTTTTTATTGTATCTGTATGTATGAGAAGATGGATGTTAGCTGAACCTATTGTGGTAATCATTTCGCAATATATGTAAATCAAACCATCATGTCTTACACCTTAAACATATACAGCAATGTATGTCAATTATTTCTCAATAACTGTAAAAAAATAACTAAAAACTGTAAAAAAAAAAAAAAAAAAGAATGTTACTAGGTGATGGTAATTAACCTGAGTGAAGTATAATAAATAGTGGAAGGCTTTGTACGGAGAGGGATGACAGAGCATGTGACAAGAAGGAGCTATTCCTGTGGCATAATTTGGGACTTCTAGGGCAATAAATTTGCCTTAATTTACCCATGACCCTACTGTGTTGATAATATACATCTTGCATTAATATACCACTTATAATGTCTTCAATGTTCTTTTACATATGTGCATAAAGACATCAAATTTTAGCACCAGAAGGGAGCTATCCAATCTCCTCAATGATCATATGAAGAAACAGAGATGACATGACCTACAGCTAGTGCAGAGAGAGATGGGATCAGAATCTAGTCTTCTGAGTTCTACCCCATGGTCTATTACAATGCATATACCTAAAAAGGGTAGTAGTACCTTGGAGGATAAAAATATTGAGTATTAACATGCCCCTAAGGAGTTTATACTCTTTCTGAGATGCTAAGACAGATATACTAAAGAAAAAAAAAAAGCTTTGTTTTTTTGTAAGGAAGATTAGCCCTGAGCTAACATCCGATGCCAATCCTACTATTTTTGCTGAGAAAGATTGGCCCTGGGTGAACATCCATGCCCACCTTCCTCTACTTTATATGGGACGCCGCCACAGCATGGCTTGACAAGCAGTTCTGCGGTGCGCGCCTGGGATCCGAACCTGCGAACCCTGGGCCGCCGAAGCCAAGCACGCGTACTTAACCGCTACACCACCTGGCCGGCCCTAGCATATTTTTTATGCTACATCCAAATGTCTTAGCATGACCTATATGGGCCCTCATGATGTGACCTCACTTATTCTCCAACCTCCTCTTCTTGTGCTGCCCATTTTTTGTTTACTCTACTCCCAAAACACTGGGCTTCTCTCTGTCTACAATCATATTGAGTTTATTCATACCTCAGGGTATTTACACTGCTCTTTTCCCTGCCTGGAATGCAGTCTGCTCTGCCTCCTTGCATGGCTGTCCCCTTTTCATCAGTCAGGTTTCAAGTTCTCAGAGAGGCCCACCTTGACCACTCTAATGCTGCTTTCCTTTTCCCCTAGGCACACTTGCAGTAACCTGTTTTATTTTTATCCTAATACTTATCACTCTCTGACATTTTCTTATTTATATACATGTTTATGGCCTGTCTTCCCCTCTAATATATTCAGAGCAGCATCGTCAGCAACTAGATTAGTGTCTGGCACATACCAAAGGCACCATAGAAATTTGCTGAATGAATGAATGAAAATTCATGAAATAAATGAATTCAAGCCAGTATATAATGTGTTCAGACACTTCACAAGATTATTTGAAGAAGAAGTATAGTGGTAGAAATGAAAGTGCAAAAGGTAAGCTGAGTAGAACATGACCCATAAAGCAAAAGTAACCTATGAGACCAGACATGAAAACTAACACTGAAAACTTTAAAGTCCAGTGATCCCTGCAGGAAAGGCCAAAGAGAAACTCACATAACACCTCTAAACCATAATGAGCTACAAGACAGTGACAAGTATTGTTTGCACAACTGCAAAATAAGCATCATGGATATGGTCTCAAAGAAGTGCTCTGAGTGGGTTGAATAATGAGCTAAATTTGTGGAATTCTTTATGTATTAGCAATGGTGGAAATAGTCTAATCAAGGTATATAATCCCCAGTTTAAAGCCAAGTGGAACCATAAAAGGGTTAAGGTGGAAATATTGGCTTTAGAGTTTAAGAAATGGTACAAACTTTACTTGGTGTTCATTCTCACTCTTAGAAGATCAAGCACAGTAGTTAGTTAATCCAGGATAAAATAGATCAGTAAAGCATTGTTAATTACGTGCTACTAAAACCATAAAGTCCTTGTGAAGCAGGTGATAAATGCAAGGGAGTATGTCTTCATTTTTACTAACTGTTCACACACAACCCAATACAATAAAATGCTGAGTTTAGTTCAATCCAGCAAAACTTTATTTAGCAGCCACTATTTGCCAGGTACTATACTAGTTCTTGATAAGGGTTAAAGCAAAGATGAAAAAAAAAATGGCCCCTGCCCTTGAAGAGCTTATACTTTATCTTTAAAGAGCGTATAGGGGCCGGCCCTGTGGCTTGGTGGTTAAGTGCGCGCGCTGCGATGCTGGTGGCCCGGGTTCGGATCCCGGGTGCGCATCGAGGCACCACTTCTCTGTTCAT